AGCAAGGTGCCACGCGCAGGTGCAGGCTGGAAAAATACGAAAGCTGAACCCCACAAGGAAGCAGCACATTAATCTGAGTGCGCATGCACATTCTCGCATTATATAAATATACTTACATAAGTTATGCAACAATCTACAAGTGTATGTGTATATATGTAGAGACACATCCGAATCTACTCAGATACTCATATACTTATGCACTTATGATATATGTTTGTATGTTTCTTGTATAGAGGGAAACCGTGACCGTGACATGACCCAGCTGTTTCAATCCAGGGTCCACCTCTGCATAGTAGAACTGCAGGGTTTGCGCAACCGTTTATACCTCTGTGTGCCATTCGTAACCCTTGTACAACTCTGTCTAAACCCTGAATCCCTAAACTCCGAAACCCTTAAGCCCAACATAACCCAAAACCCTAAGCCTAAGCTCTAAACTCCCCAGCAAAAAAGCATGAAACTACAAAACCCTTAAACCCAATATAACCCAGGCCGGACGCTCCCTGCATCGACGTGGCCCACCACCACGAGACTAATCGTGGGGCGCTCGTCGGTCGTGCCCTGATCAACTAGACCCAAGAGTAACCTAGGGGGTTTAGGGGTCCTTGAAAGGATACTATAAGGGTTCTTTTAAGGGATCTATAGGGTTTAGGGTTTAGGGGCCTATATAAGAGTAACCTAGGAATAAAAAGGGTGCCTTTTTTGGTTTTAAAGGGGCTTAATAAGGGAACCAGAACCCTAAAAAAGGGAATAAGGGCTTACTCTGGGTCCTAGAGGGCTTTTCCGCTTTTCCCTGTCTTAGGGTGCACAATTTTACTACCTACTTGTCGGGTATCAGGGGAACTACAGGTTAACCTTTTGGGTTTTCTAGGGATTATATAGGGACTATACTACCCAAAAAAGGTGAAAGCGCGACGTGGAATAAGCTGCGTCCCCAGCGAAAGGCGTGAGACGAGCTTCGCGAATTTGCGAATTAAGCTCAGAAGTGTTGTGGGAAGCAGGCCGGCAACGGACGAGGTGTGATTTGGGGGATGCGATACGAATATTTCAGGACTCGGACTCCCGGCACTATGATGGATTCAAGAAGGTGTCGAACGTGGGACCCTGAAAGGAGGTTGGGTCGGGATTTCAAAGAGGGAACAACATTGGTAAACCCGTAAGATGACAATGATCGCAGATTTTCGCGGGGATAAGGAGTCAACTTCAAAGAAGCATTAAGGAGATCAAAACATTTCACAAAGGTACCTGCGGCTTGCGTTAATACCTGTGGGGGCAGTCGGGTGGCTTCGGAACGGTTTGGGAGGAAATAAACTGCCGGGGATTTATGATTCACCTTAGGCGCATCACAAAAACTAGACCCCTTGAGCACTTTAAGGTTGATCGGCACCATGACTCGAAAAGAAATGCAAAGATCTAACATAAGTTCAATGAAAGAAACCCCTTGGGAGGGCGGCGGGCTCTCAAAAGGGGATGGCCACTCCAAAAGCGTCCAGTAATGTGCGAAAAGCTGTAGCCATTTTTCATCCCATGTCTGAATTTGGAAAGGGCCGGGGATATGGATTGGCCAAGGGCTGTACTGTACCGATACACTCTCCGGGGTCGGTGTGGGAGTAGGCTGATGCCGCGGGTTTGCCTTTCTATGGGACATGACTAGGCGTGAAACTTCATGCAAAAACAAGCTACACTTATAAGCAGTCTCAATTGCTGTACGTTCTGCTACAAAATTCCAAACGCGGCTTGATCGGGACAGTGTGCTTCTGGCTAATTCATCTGCCGCGTTATTGCCTAGGATTGTCCAAAGGTCATACTGATCTTCAGCCTCAGTAGGGTGACGATGGGACTTGACTTTGGATATTTTCACAGACCCTGGGGCACGCGTGATGACTTCCTGGGCAATAAGACACCACAAATCAAAACTGGGGTGGTTGCGCCAGTGGAAAACGTCGAAGCCCTTGCTCAGGATGGACTGCAAACCAAGAACGACGGAGGAATTGTCAGTAAAAATTTCTACGCGAACTGCCGAGCGCAAAGCCTGAAGGACTGCATAGGTTTCTGCCCTAGCGATGCAATGAAAGGGGCCCGGGGTGATACCACTACCGATCGGGAAGAAATCATGGGAACGCCCATACGATCCTACAACTGCCCACGAGCTGAGGCGGACATTTGGTAAATCAGGTGGATTTGCACCACCGTCGGTAAAAATCGAGACGAGTTGCGGCGTGTGACAAAAATTAATTCGGCCTAGGTCTAAATGCAGAGGACTAATATTGAAAGGGACACAAGGTATACCTGTACACCGTGTGAACAAGGGGGCTTGAAGAGTGGCAGCATATTCACTGTTTTCTCTCAGGTGTTGGGTCGCTGGGCAACAAGTTACGAGGTGGAAGGAACCCGCGCCTACCTGGTTGCAAAGTTCGCAGTGCGCCTCGTCTGTACCCCTTACCGCGGCCAACGCGTCAGCTGAAAGGAGACCGAAGATTCGATGCTTTAAGGCCAAAGCCGGGAGATCATGCTTGAAACCCCAGAGGGAAAACCAAGTGGGCAAAGCGAAGGAAAAGTTTGGCCATTTACCCGGCTTGAGAAACTTCTGAAGGGCATACTCATACCAAGACTGCTGTGCCAACTTCATCCATGTACCGACGGGTGTTGTGAGCAAATTGAGGGTCGTGGACTTGACTACCACATCAAAGTTAGACTGTGTCTCCCAGCCAAGAACCTGACATGCCCAAAGGAAAAGTGACACTGGTCCAAGTGTAAGGCGTTGGTTGGCTAGTAAGTCAGTGTCCAGTAAGTGGTTCCACAGTCTCGCTGCTTGTGCTGTACCAAACGAGAACAAAGTACTACGCAAAGATGCCAACCTAGTCTTAAACACATAAAGAAAGGGTTCGTAGTCTACCTTGTGGGTAAAAAGTGGGCTCAAGAAGTGGGACGCTCTAGTCTGTTTACCATGAACAGCTGTGTTCAGTTTGGACCGAAAGTTCTTTAGAGTGGACAGTGAGACGTGGACCGTCTCACAACCAGAAAAAACCATGGGGAACACACCTCTTTGGATCAGACTAATTTTGCGCACAACTGGCCAGTCTTTAAAAATGAGTCTATCAATCCTCTCCAACCCATCTTCCCAACGGGGGACGACATCCTGGACACTGGGGGCTTTATCGAACCTGAAGAGCATCCCCAATTCAACCTTGTGAGTCGTAGAGGCTGGTGTATGACCATTGAAGCTCCACTCCTTCAGAGCTTTACGAGCTTTGGCCGTCGTGCTCGCTACCCAAGTCTTTTCCTGAGAAATCCTGAAACCTGCCACTTGTGCGAAATCGTGGGTGTATTGCACTGCTTCACGTAAGGAACCATGTAGATGTGAATGGAACAACCAGTTATCCACATAGTTCATAAAGACAGTGTGGCACTCATTCTGTTGTCTCGACTGCACATAAAGTAAAGTCAGCCAATTAACTTGGAGCATTTGATATACCGCGAAGGCACACCCTTCCGGAACTCCTGTCGTGGACTTAACCTCTGTCGAAATGCAGCCATGTATTCTGAAATGACGAGAAACCGCATCAAGGAAAGAGCGATACAGGGCCCAAATGGGTCGGGGGGTACCGAAGTGCGCATTGGTTTCTTGGAGGATAGGACGCCTCAGAAGGTTGTAGGCTTTTGTGAGGTCAAGGGAAGCTACGCTAAACTCCTCACCGAAACAGAGGGCCGTTTCCGCCAAAAGCTGCACATAAGACCCTAACCACTTGGAAGAGGCCGCAGGTCGGTTACCTTGAATACCCCAGGGCAGGAACTTCAGGACATTGCTTAAAAACTTTTGGGCCATGATCTTTGCCCAGAGTCTGTAAAGTGTGCTCAGAATTGTAATGGGACGTGTTTGAGATAATTTAAAAGACACGGACGACTTTGACAGAAGCGCTACAGTGGCCTCGAGCATGGACTGGGGCCAAGTCACATGATTCTTCATTCCATTGAAGAGGTCTGTCAAGGCTTCGACAAAGGGTTCGGGTAGGGTCTTGAGCTCGTAGTTAGACCAGCAAACCGGGCCTCTAGCTTTCCCAAACTTGAGTTGCTTTAGTGCCTGCTTGACTTCATCTACCTGAATATTTTCGTCAAACTCAGGTACAGGGGTAGTTGAACGCAGAATCTCACGGCAAGCTAGTGGATCCTCAAGGGGCTCGTCTTGCCAAAACTGCTGCCAATACTCCTGGGCCCTTAAGAAAAGCACATGAGGGTTTCCTGTAGGGACTAAAGCAAACACATGTACATGGGGTGTAGTAGACAAGATTGGGCCATCCAACTGGACGCGGGAGTCTGTGACCTGTAGTACGGTTCTACGGATGGTTCCATGTTCGACAAAAGCTGCTTGTGCAGGGAAGTTGTCAACAAGGAACCACCAGGGCCCAGCTTTCGCATGCCTACAGCGCTGGAGAACTACAGGCACCGGGCTTTCTAGAATTGTAATGTCTGGTTTAGCCGGGGGACGAATGTCCCTAAAGTGGGCCGGGGCTCCGTTGGACCAATCCGCGTTGAGGAACTCGGAACGGATATGTGATTTCAGCTTGGAATATTGGTATTGCACTTTGGGTAAACTCTTCCCCAGTTGCTCCTTTAAAAGCATTACCAAAGGGATATGCGTGACATCAACTGTGTCTGGGAGTAGTATTCCAAGGGACGTCCATGCGAAGTGAGAAAAGTGGGTTTGAAAACCATGGCTTTTCATAATTGCGTCCCAGGTTTCGCGTGCTGCGTTGCCGGCGCTCTCCGCTTGACCAGGTTTGCAGGCAGCGATAAGTTGATTCAAGACCGTACCTACGCGCCTAACCTGTCGGATTTGCTGCCTAAGGGCTAACGGCGCATCGTCCACCGTGGGGTGCAAAAAAGGTGAAAGGTTGCCTACTCTACTACTAGGACTAGGTGTCGTACTCATGAGTACAGAAAAGCAAAGAACCCGCACGAAAACACAAATTAATATTGCAACTTCTATGGAAGACTCCGAACCCTCATTCAGCTGAGGCCACGGCCGTGTCTGGAGGCAACTCTGGTGCCTCCTGCAGCTTTCACAAAGGGTTTCGAAAGGGTTTAGTGTCTTAAGGTCTGCATAACGGCTTCTTTGAAGGGTTCTCAAGGGTTCAACAGTTTCGGGTTGCCTCTACAGACAGGTGTACCTAGTAACCAAGAGAGCTCAAAAAACGGAAACATGCCTCTTCTGACATTAAGGGTACATGAGCTACTCGAGGTACGGTCGAGGGTTTGCAAAGACGGAAGGTTTAGCTTAAGCCTCAGGTATCTTCTGAACATAGTAGATAAACTGGCCCCCAAATTGCCTATATAGGGACTATTTACGGCCGAAGCATATACGATTTGGGTACATGACCCTTAGGGTCAACCCCTTGAGCCCTGCAAGGCCGTAACTGACGAGGGCGAAAACCTGCGTAGAATTCCCGTTTTGTGGCACTTTGGTTGCTCGATGTAACTAAAAAGAACCTGGCAGTGCCTCAAAAACAAAGCAGCATAGTTAAACTCTCTCAACTTTAAACCCTCCACCCCGGCACTAAATTCCACAAGGCCCTAAACCCTAACCCTGTGGAAGCCTCAACCCAGCAAACCCTTACCAAGACCCTTATGGACAACCTTCATCTGGGTTGTGCTTTAAACCCCTTGAAAGTTATTCATGAAAAGGTTCCCTTTATGAGGAAACAAGGGAACTTAAAAAATATCCCAAAGCACAACCCAGTCATGGCGCACTGCAGAGAAACCTGAGGAGCTCCGAAACCTCCACCACCACTACAAGCAAGCCCCTTCTCTCTAAAAGAGCCACGGTTTAGGGTTTACCTACCTGGACCCTAAAGAACCTATCTTTTTTGGGCTCCTTAATATGATTTCTTTTTATAAGTCCTTAAAAACGGAGGCTACGTGGGGTTAAGGTAAAGTCTCAATTGCAATTCCTTTTCTTGGTTAACCGGCTTTATGGTAAGACCATAGGCATAAGCCTCCCTAACCCAGAGGGTCCATATATACTACCATTATGGAATTAGGTCCCAAAAATCATAATAACGATGGTCCTTTGGGACCTAATTCCATACTGGTGGTATATGTGGAGAGTTCAGGGGTTAAGGGGTTTAGGGGTATAAGCTTTAAGGGTTTAGGGTTTAGGGTAATTACGGGTTCAGGGGTTTTGGGGTTCATTTAGGGTTGAGGGGTTTAGGCCTTTAGGGTTTAGAGCCCTCTCTCCGGACGCCTCTTCCTGCCGGGGCGGCGGCTCGAACTTTTCCACCTGCAGTGGCGTTAAGGATCTGACATGTAGCAGGGTTCCTTCAGTACTAGGACCCCCCAAAGGTTTGAAATGGCTTCAGGGGTTAGGGTCTGTAGGGTCTAGGATGTTTGGCTTTTAGAGTATACCAGGAGCCCCCAAACGTCCTTTAATAGAGTCCTTATGCCCCCTTAAATAGTGTTTGAGGGTAGTTCGGGGTTCCTTCAGTAGTGCCCTAGACGGGTCTGGCTGAGCGTCTCTATAGGGACCCCATGTGAAGCTGTTTTAGATTTCGTGAGTTCAAAGGTGTCGGGTTTTGGCGTCCGAGGCAGCCTAGGTATTTCCGAGGCTTTGTTTGTAGTATTTGGATTGGCAAAGTTGGGGATATATGACTCGGGTGTGCGGTATGTGACATGTGAGATCTCGCGCTTAAGGCAGACAGCTGCGGGGCCTTCAGGCTATCCGAAATCGTGAGCTCTAGGGATGATCCACGGGATTCTGGTTTTCAGCCGCGGGCCCGCGAGCTCCAAATGGCAGACAAAATGAATAGAGTATGGTGTTTAGTCAAAGCGTACGGTATGGGCTTTGCGAGCCCCGAAATGTTCATTATTAGGCTCTGTATCCCGGAAGTGAATACACGGGACCCTAAACCACACTACACGATCACAGATCACCCTAAACTCCTAAACCCTAAAGAAATCGACTTGTGCAGGGCGAAAAGCAATACAACAGCACGGACGAGGATAATCCTAGCCTTTATGCTGGTAATCATGATCACGACGATGGTGCCTAAGAGCTGGAAGCAGACTGCTGCCCATAAACCCGAAACCATTGAATCCTCCGCCTTGAACCGTGCTACCCAAAATCTTGAAGCGCCCTACAAACACTAAACTAAACCCCAAACGCAACCGCTGAACAATGTATGATGAAACCAGGATAGCACGGCAACGGAGGCTTATCAACACGACAACAACCTTCAATGTGGCAACCGTAGGCACACTTGCATAGTCGCCCCAAGCCCAAAAACCTTTTGCCCCAAAACCGTGGAACCCTGAAACAGCAGAAGTCCTTACCCTTTACCCCTCTCCAGCAACCTGAAACCCTCAAAAGGCCGAAGGGAATCCCTCAACACTAAGCCCTAAGCGCCCTAAACCCTGCACCCCTGAACCCTAAGCCCTGAGCGCCCTAAACCCTAACCCCCCTAAGCCCAAAACGACCTAAACCCCTGAACCCTAAACCCCTGAACCCTAAACGCCCTAAACAACTGAACCCTAAACGCCCTAAACCCCTGAACCCTAAACGCCCTAAACAACTGAACCCTAAACGCCCTAAACCCCTGAACCCTAAACTCCCTAAACCCCTGAACCCTAAACGCCCTAAACAACTGAACCCTAAACGCCCTAAACCCCTGAACCCTAAACTCCCTAAACCCCTGAACCCTAAACGCCCTAAACAACTGAACCCTAAACGCCCTAAACCCCTGAACCCTAAACTCCCTAAACCCCTGAACCCTAAACGCCCTAAACAACTGAACCCTAAACGCCCTAAACCCCTGAACCCTAAACTCCCTAAACCCCTGAACCCTAAACGCCCTAAACAACTGAACCCCTAAACCCTAAACCCCGTTTTGTATTTCCTTAGCAGGGGCCTGGGGCTCGCTCTTGGGCTTTGGGTCCGCCTTGGCCTCTTGAGAGAACCCAGAGACTCCAAAAGTTTCCTTAATTAGGGAATATACCTTAAATCATATAAGGGATCCTACCATAATTTAAGGAATATTCCCTAATTAAGGGATATTGGAGTCTCTGGGAAAGAGGCGGCTGTGAGACGTCGAACAAGGCACACACCAGTTGAGGGTTCCTTTCAGGGCTCTATCCTAGGGAACAGGTCACACACTTTTGAAGGGTTCCTTGAAGGGCTCGATAAAAGGGTTCTTTTCAAGGGGATCCTTTTAAGGGTTGCTTTCAGGGCTCTATAAAACGTTTCCTGTTAAGGGGTTCCTTTTAAGGGGTTCCTTTGAGGTGCTTTATTCTGTGACGGACTTAAAGGGTTTGGGGCCTCGGGTTTTGGGCTTAGGGCTTAGGGGTTGCGTTCACCTCATGGTCAATTTCTACAGGGCTACTTCATGCCATTAGCATTGTGTCTGTCTGTATATATATATGCAGACACATACCCGCCCGTTACTCAAGAAGCCTTCTCTTGAACTGTCTTAAACTGAACCCTCAGAGCCGACAACACACTGAAAGCTAAACCCTAAAACCACAATCGACGTGGGCAGTTCCCTAAAATTAGGTGCCTCTTAAGGTCCTTCTATAAGGATACCATAGTACTTTGGGGACCTAAACAAGGACCCTATTCTCGAGAACTAGCCAGTGTGGCAGGCTCCAGGGTTTCGGTGCTCATTAATATTCGGCGATGCAAGGGGTGCTCCCTCGAGAGCTCGCCCGGGTGCAACATAGGCACGTCTGGGAGCAGGTTGCCTCGCTCGTGGCAGGATCCCAACTGGTTTAAATACGTGATCGCTTTCTTTCGGATGATTCGGATGATTTCGGATGTATGCGTGATGCACATATCGTACGATCCTGTCTACGGCGCCCGTGGCCGGGAGGGCCTCTACCACGGCCATACGCGTTCCCTTCGCCACGAGGTATGACCGGGCGGAAGCCTGAAGATCGCCACTCCAACGGAGCGGCCGCTCCGCTGCCTGGCCTCCAAACCTTAAGGACGAAATGAACCCTAAAAGGGTTTAAGGTTCATGTACCATATAGGGATTCATAGTATATGGGTATAGTGCTCCTCCTTTTTAAGGGTCATTTGGTCCTTCAGGAATGTGCGCGGAGGCCACGGGTTGTTTCCTGCAAGTCTGCTTTGCAAGGTGCACTCTCTTGTAGAACTACAGCCTGGTAATGTCCAGCAACATCTTGGGATGCACCGGGTAAATGCACGGCAGCGGAGCAGTTGAGTTTCTGAATAGCTAGGGAGAGTGAATCCCGATGTCGAGCGCCCGCGTGCAACGGCTATCAGCTCCCCCGTCAAAAACTCATATAATGTCCTGCACGTACAAGCCGGCCTCTTTCTTCCACAGTGAACTGTCATTTAGGGATTAGTTGGAAAGCCGCGTACACAAACACATACACATGTATACGGGTATATGTTCCTACACGGGTATCTGACCACAACACCAACCAACACGCAAGGAGCCACATGTGCACTCACCAGAACCTGCAGCATGAACCCTACTTCATACATACTCGTTCACACATCTATATCTATACAGATATTTGTTGTATTATATATACAACACTTATATCATACACGTTATGAAACATGGTACAAGAGGACAGCGAGCCTCATCAAGACCTTCGTTGGAACGCCTTTTCACCCAAACTCGCAAACTCTTCTCCTGCTCGAAAAGCACCTGAACCCTAAATCCTGAACCCTAAGCTCTAAATTAAACCTTCAAGCTGATCCCCACCCAAGCCTGCTCTAAACCCTAAAGTCCTAAACTACAAAGCTCAAAGGCTCAAGCTCTCTTACACCCGCAAAATCCCTAACCCGCACCGCACCCCCTATCATACCGGAAAGCCCTGAAGCCCTGAACCCGCACCCCCAAAACAGGTATCTTAAGAATGCAGCCCAAGCCTCTCACCCCCGAAAGCTAACTTACAGGCTCTCAAAAGAAACCCCTCATAATCAATGCCTCAACGAAGGGGCCATTATTATTCGAATGGGTTTCTTGGGTATATTCCATGCGGACTAGAAGCGGGACACGATTAGTGATAATTCCGACTCCTACGATAGAATCCTGGCAACCGCCACGTTGCCAAGCCTTTGCGGCTGCTTTCGTGGAGGCTTTGGCCTGATGCAAGTAGGGGTTTAGGGTTGAGGGCTCAGGGCTGTGGCCGTCATGGTTCAAGGTAGAGTTCCCAGGCCAATTCGGGTGCAAAGGAGCTCAGGTTGAAGGGATTGAAAGTCTTGCTTGGTCTTTTGGGCGGTTTTAGGTGCCAGTGAGTGTAGGGATTGAGGCCGTTCGGGGGTCGAGGGTTGAGGGACTACAGGGCTTAGGAATGAGGGCTGCCGAAGCTCATCTCCGTCACCGCTCATCCTTGTAATGCTTCCCCACACATGCTGAAGGCTCAAGAGTTTCGATTCGCGCTTCTGCCTAGAATGTTTGACCTAGGAGCTGCAGGGCTTATGGATCCTAAATCCTAAACCGTGATTGTGGTTTGGAATCATCAAGGATGTTTGGACTTCTCATCACACGTGACTACCATGAGTTTATCTTCCATGCGACGCAAAGGTCTCCACCCTCAGGAACAGCTTCCGGCTAGACCCAAGAGTAACCTAGGAATAAAAAGGGTGCCCTTTAACCTTTTTGGTTTAAAAGGGATTATAAGAAAACTTAAACCCTAAAAAAGGGGATAATGGCCCACTCTGGGTCCTAGACGGTCACGAGGAGCTGCAAAAGGAACAGCGGGACAGGATTGGCTACTGCAAACTTCGTGGAACCCACAGATCATACTCAGCTAAATAACAACCAAACCAAGGCCCATGGTGGCCTACTTGGAGGAATATGGGGCTTAGTAAGTCAGGTTATGGGTACCTTAAGTGGGCTTATTATAAGTGGTTATACCCTGGATCCCCAAAGGCGCTTCTAGTAACAGGCTCTCAGACAAAGCACGTTCCCGGAACAGGCGTTCGTGATTCACGGTAGGGTCGGTTTCTGTACAAGATAGCATCAAAAAGCTTGCCATCGAAAGCGTATGCACACATAAGATAGGTTAGGGCGGTCTGTGCACGATCGCCTTTGTTGGGTGTTGGGTTTCATGTGCACGAGAAACTAATATGGTGTTAGCATCCGTTGCGCCACATGTGCACGGAGAAAGGTGTGCGTGCCGGTTCAATATCGTTTGGTCTTCTTTTCTTTTCATACTCATGATGATCTGCACATACTTTTTGAGATGTGTGATTACAGTCTTCTTCTGCGTCTTGTCACTTGGACCGTCTCCTTGAGACAGAAATTTGCACTCCACACCCCTCAGCATTCTTATCGTGTCGGGAGCTCATTCCAAGTGATTGAGACTTCAAGTTCATTGGCTTTCTGGCAACAAGTGCGAGCACAACTTCCAGGCTGTTTCGCAAAGTGTTTGCAACCGGGCACAAACTGAAAAACTGCACGAACTTACACTACTTCGTGATATAATTCGTTATTGTAACAAAGGAGCGTAGTGGAGAAAGGTATATAGTTTGAGCTTGCATAAACGCTGATTGAGGAAGTGATACATTCGAGCTACGACTGCTACCAAGATTGCTTTAGTAATGGCAGTGTCGTTCGCATGATCATGCATGGATATAGAGCCACTCTGATAATGGTGTGCTGGTGACAGGGTCTTCTGTTGATGATGGTGCAGCTGCTGATGCTGCTGCGGCTGCTGATGTTGATATTGTCGATGATGCTTCTTGGTACCCCCTCTCTGATTTCATATGTTAGCACTGCAACAGTTCTGGTATCGATATGTCATTAAACCACGTTTCTTGTCAACATATGATAGCTGTTGTGATCAATATCTGTAGCTTTGTCATCCTTACCATCTTCATCTTCATCATCATCTTGGCCACGTGTTCATCTTTTCATTCCTGTTGCCACCACCAGCCGTAGAAGTCATCCCTGTTGTTATCGTCATCATGCAGAAACATACTCTGCATCTTCACATGTAGCACTGTTCGTATTTGCACCTTGCCTGCTGGCGACATTGCCGTCTGTGCGGGCGGTGTTGTCGCTTTTGCTATCATCATTTTTGTTGCTTTTGTTGCTGCTCCAAGTAGCATGATGTTTTCCAGCACTCGTGTTTACAGTACAGTAGATATGCACATACACCTGGTGTATATGTGTAAAGTGTAGACATATAAAACTATCTATATATGTATATGTATATATATATATACGTAGCGATACACACTTCCCTAGACATTCACAGATTGTCGTTGCTGCGTGGGTTGGCTTGTTTCGTGATTGCTTCTGTTGTTGTGGGCACACAGACCACGCCCCGAATACCGCCGACAGTGTCGTTGTTGCTATGTTTTGCTGTCATGAACGATATCATTGTTTTGTTGTTGCAGCTGGGGTTTGCAGTTACTTCTTACACACTCCATGCTTAACTATGGTGTATCTCTTTGTTGCACTGATTTGTGGTGATATTCTAATCATGGTTGGGCTCTGTTGCGTTTCTGACTTTCGTACAAATCATATCAAATTTCCTGCTTCTCACAACTGTTGGTAAACCTTGTGGCACTAGAGCTAATTCCTACACTGTAATTCCTCTGCAATTGAGCAGATCAGGCCCCGTCAACCGTTAACTCGGTATATCACTTTTTGATGCGAAGAAAGTCTCGTTGTCGATATTTTGCCTATGGCGTGCTGTGGTTTTCTTGAAAGCAGCACCGTGATTCACGCTGTTTTTGGGCCTTTGACTCCAGGAGGCTCAAAAAATCATCTCGGGCGCAAAATCAAAATCCCGAAACAGGCGCTCACGAATCTAAACCGGCTTTCACGGATCCAAACCGGTTTTCACGGTCATTTCACGCGTGATTCACGGTGTTTCACGGCGCTTCTGTGCAAAAGACACGCTGTCGTAGCTATGCTCAACTTTTGACCGATGCAACCAAACTGGTGTGAATCACGCATTTCTGTGTCGTGAATCATGGCTTGTGTTCTTGTGCATCGCCTGACCCCAACCCCTCCTTAGACGCGCCGAAAGTGGGGGTTGGACATGCATTTGCATGCGTATTCCCAGCCTTACGTCAATGAGTCAAGTCCCGTGTACATCTCGCATCGTTATTGTTCCTATGATGCCATGGCCCGTGCCTTCATGTCTCAGCAGTTCGTTTGGCCAGTTGTTTTTGGATCAGAAATTTATCAACAGCCATATAGTGCAAAGTAAATTAATCATGCAAAGGGAAGTGTTGTCACTGGTGTCGTCATGATGCTCATGATAATGTTACGCGGGCACCCCTCCTGTTACAACTGCTCAGGTTAAGAAAGTTGTTAGTTGGAGTTGTACTGATGCTAGTACTGTTCAGACCACGACTTGATACCACATAAGTTGCTGTTGGCCGTGGTAGTCGTCATCGTGTTTTTGTGTAATTCTTGCAAATCCGATGTTTCTTTTCAAGCGGTAACGCAACCTTCAAAATGTCAAAGTCAAAACCGTGTTCGCGCATACCATCATCACCATCATCAACCTCACCATCATCACTATCGTCGTCATTACGGGCACCATCACCTTGTTCATCACCAGGACCAGCAGTATTCGCCATCCTACGTGGTTGTAAATATCTTGATGTGGTGCCGATGATTCCGCGCGTGTGTCTGTGTGTGCTGTGTCGGTGGGTGTTGCTTATGATACCATCAAAATGACTACGATGGTCACAGTTTGCACAACAAACATCATGATTCCTCTTACTGGCCACTGTTGTTGTCCTATTGTAATGGCCGTTAATCTGGTTGCATGATGTTGTGTTCTTTCGTATGTTGATCGCTGCTGTAATTGGGAGCATGAATATGGCATAGTAGACGGGAGTAGCACCATCGTTGTGCACACGAGTTTCAGTTGCGCATGCAGAAGTGCTTGCTAATGTGTTGCATATGTTGGAGCAAAGGTCTCTCTGCAGGCTCCAAACTCCAAACGGTGTCTAGTATAATTATGGTGGATGAATAAACACGCATTTCATGCTAACACAGCCTGTGTCATGTTTGTTCTGTGACGCTTTATGCTGCGAACACTGTCTTACAGAGCACATACAGCAGCCCGCTCGCTCTCTGTCTCCCTCTCTCTCTCTCTCTCCCTCCCTCCCTCCCTCTTTCAGTCACACGCACACACACTAAAGTCACTAAAGAACAGACAAACTAGACTTACACACTCTCATTGTAGGTTGGATATGTAGAAGCGAAAAATTAAATATCTTTTTCTGCACACACGTATTCTTGCATGTCATATGTATACTGTGTGTATATCTATATATGTATATGTATGCCGTATAACGAAAATCTGGGTCGTACAGTATGATGTACATGCGCCACCGTCTTCCTTGCCAATCTAGCTCCATATACCCTGCCTACACATATTTGCTGACTTTGAGTTTTGTACCCTCTACGGTTCTAAATCCGCCTTCTTAGGGCTACACTACATCAGGTCACCATGCATTGTTTGCTTCCACTGGAGCAGTATTGCTGGCGGTTGTTTTGCTCAGACATGTTGTGTGACAACTAACTGCATTGTGGCCTTTCCCTGTTTTGTTTTGTTTAGACAACATACGAAAGGTTTGCCATCCAGGTACAGCACAATATAATTTCGTGGAGTTGACATTGGACGCTTTGACAACCAATTAGGCGATGACATCGTGTAGATTGCTTAGAGATGGCAGTTGTCCAAGGGCACTGCTTTCGGACCCCGGCCCCGTACGGTTGATATGCTATCGACGGTTTTGTGCGCTCGACGGTTTCTAAAACAGGCGCGGACGCCCAGGGTATAAGTATAGTTACCTTATCTATAACCTCTGTTACTAAGTCCTCTGATCCTTTAAGTACACCCTACACGACTCCAGATGACCCCCTAGGGCTCAAGCCCCCTCCTAAAATGAGATTGACAATTGGCAGAAGACTCGACCCTAGCACCACAAAAGTCCGGCCGAAAATTGAGGTGAAAGGCCCCTGTCCTGAATTAGCCTCGGGACCTCTGCATTATGGAGGGTCACCTGATCAATGGTGGTGCCATCTTGCCCCCAGTCTAGGAAAATTTACTAAAAGGGTGAATATTGAACCTCAGGGCTCTGTGGAATGACCTAAAAACCTCAAAACAGATGGCCTTCGATGCGTTACATTGAACCGTCCCGTAGCCGCACCCCAACCCGCCCTCCAGGAAAAACAGCAAGAGGTCTTACCACCGACAACCTCTCAAGTAGAATCTGATGCCGCCTGAAAAACGCCGACTATGAAGGGAATCAGACCTCTCTTAGGGTATAGGGTCCTGGTAGCCTTTACCCTCCCAAAGGCTCCATGTATCCACATAGTAGATACTTGGGCCTTAAAGTACCTATATCGGGACCCCTTAAAGGCTTAAGCATCTACTCTCTAAACCCAAAACTTAGTCTCTAAACCCTAAACTCTACACCCTAAATCCTAAACCCTATCCTATCTACTATAAAGGTACATGGAGCCTTTGGGCCTAAAGATCCCTGCAGACTCATCCCCTCGGCCTGCAAAAAGTTTTGCAGAAGCTAGACCCAAGAGTAACCTAGGGGGTTTAGGGGTCCTTGAAAGGATACTATAAGGGTTCTTTTAAGGGATCTATAGGGTTTAGGGTTTAGGGGCCTAAGAGTAACCTAGGAATAAAAAGGGTGCCCTTTTTGGTTTAAAGGGGCTTAATAAGGGAACCAGAACCCTAAAAAAGGGAATTCTGGGTCCTAGTAAGCTTTACACCCAAAGCCTCGCCTGCCCAAGCCTAGCCCGAAAATCATTCAACACATTCAAAGAAAACCTTTATGGCTACCCTAAATATCAGGTGCCGTATTATATTAGGGACCCATAATTAATTTTGACAACAACCGACGACAGAGAGACTTGATCCGTGCGAGGCCTTTGGAGCCATACCCGGGATGACGTTGGACTTTGCTTTTGGTTTGGCCTTGGGCTTGACGTAGCCCTGCGCAGCAGTGTGCTTGATGAGGCATGTGCAGCTAGTTTCGGTTTGGGGTGGAGGGTCTCATTAAGGGCTAATTCGCTGGGTGTATAGGCTTCATACACGAAACCCTAGACCGTTTTAGGGTTGGAGCAGACGTCGGGGCTACGACCCAAAGGCCTAGGCAATCTTATGGGGGATACTTCTCCAAATCGTAATTGCAATGCCTAATATGGAAATCCTACATTCTACTATGGATCCTTTGGGCGATTGAGGGCCAATAAGGGACTTAGGGTTTGGGACTTAGTGTCAGATGTGTCAGACGTCTGGGTTTTGGGGAAGAGAGTTGGGAAGCTGACGGCACTCATGGGATTTGTGGAAGAGTGAATTTAGCAAGAACGGAGTCGGACGGAGCGTACTTGCTCACATCGCAATGTTCGCCGCTGTCCCCACTATGATATGACAAGACTTCCTGTATTCACAGACCCAGCAACCGAAGATGCTGACTGCTGGGCGAGCATATATATATATATATATACACACACACATATTGTTATATATATATATATATGTATAAATAAACAGGTGATTAGTTAAATATATATATATATATATATATATACATATATAGGGTTTGGGATCGAATGGTCCAGCAGCGGACCATATTGTCCAGAACCCCAGTACCTTCATGGTACGCCAAAGAGCCTGTGTACGATGCGGCGGCAAGACATGGCCCAGCTTTGAGGATGTTGCGACGGGCAAAGCTGTGATACCTGGCTATAGAGATTTTTGTTGCTGTGAGGCAAGAGCTCGGGGTTGCGGTGGGATCATCGACCCACGACGCCAACAACGACATTCGAGCTTGAGAGTGCCATGCGATGGCCCAGTCGGGAATACGCGCGGCACCGGACAGGATGGGGCCCTTGGCAAAGGTAGTCGTCCTTCGACTGGCAGTTCTTCCACATCTGTCCGCGAGGATGGCATGCTGGCCCAGAGTGATATGGCCACAGCTTGCCCTTCTATGGGAATGGGGAGTGGCCCGAGCCATAACAGCAAATGGAGGCTCCATGAAATCAGCGATCACAGCTGGCTACGTACTGCTGCTTGGGAACCTCTGTACGCTTGCGGGAACGTCGAAGCTGTTAACTTCTTCAAGGACATGAAGGAGAAGGAAGCGGAGCTCATCACTGTCCGCCGGGAGAAGGTCGTCCTTACGAAAGAGCTCGCGGCTGCCAAGAAACGGGAGAAGGAATTGGCCGTGCTGCTAGAGCAAGCGCAGCGTCAGATCCGGAAGCTCACCAGCGATGCGGCCGGAGAGATCCTTACTGACATCGACCTCGAGGTCCTGACAGCGCCAGGCGTGCCACCTACACCGGCTCCAGCAAAACGCCTACCACCTCAACAGCTTGGCAAGGCGGTCCCGGTGCCCACGGCGGTCGCGGTGCCCAAGCAAAAAGGAAAGGCCTCCTCGCACGGACGACCTGCAAGCAACTGAGCGACCTCCCTCAACCGCTTTGTGCATGCCGTGCACCGTGCTTGTAGATTGTCACAACAAGTTGGTGACACTCACTCCAGCGGAGCTGTGCTTGCATCTGGCGGAGCCAAGCAGGTCGATGATGGTTGCCCTGCCCGAGCTGGGCGTTCTCTTTAGGAAACTGGAAAGCATGAAGCCCGTGCTCTCCAGAGTTTCCTCAGACAAGTCAGTTGTTGCTGCTCTGGATGAGCTGGTCATGCTGTCGAAGGAGGATAACCGGCCAGCTGCAGACACGGCTTTCACTAAGGCGGTGGAGTCGATAGTAGCCTGCATCTTTGACCCTGGCGGCATCAGAGGATCGACAGGGCCTGCAGTGAGTCGTCATTTCAGGTGCTTCGGGCACGTTAGCGGTCCTTGCTCCGCACGAGTGGGGAGGCCGATTCCATACAGATTCGGGTTGAGGGGAAGCTTCGCCCTGAACTGCTTTTGGTTTTGTAGAGGGATGCTGGGTGCTGGGAGACGGCTTTTGTCGCGGCCGGTTCTATCTCTGTTGCCCATTCCCCTCTTCGCAGATTTCTGCGCCGGGTTGGCTGAGTCCTTCTCGAGTGCATACTGCTAGTCTGCATGTTCTAATTAGGCAGCGTACTCCCCTGAATGCAGCGAAATGAAAAAATATACATATATATATATATATACATATATACATATATATATACACACACATATATACATATACATATACATCAGCGGGTCCGTCTTCGCTGCCTCTCGGACTGGCAAGCAGGTCACACGAGGATGCAATCGTCAACGACGTGTCCTAAACCTTAAACCACAACGGCAGGCATGACCAAGGGGAAGACTATGCCATGGCACACGTGCTAATGCTCCCGCTTTGACTGCTTCTACCGTTACTGCGAAATACTATACTGCTATTGCTATACTACTACCAGTACAGCGACGACCCTGTACGACCACCGACGGTGGCATCCACTACCACGACTACCACCACCGCCCTCGCCCCCACCAAGCCCGCCCTATCACAAACCCCAAACTCAGCTACTTCGCTATCCTGAAGCAGAAACCTATGGCACCGGCATGGCTTTCAACTTTCGCGCGCCTCGTCCCATCCACCTTCAGGGCCAACACGGCTTCACCGGATTGGGCGCTGGAGTTCCGGAAGGTTTCCAGCTTACCCCTACCTTAACCCTGAAGAGCCTACCTTGTTAGGGTTCCTTATTATGATTTCCTTATATAAGTCCTTGAAAACTTGTTAGGGTTCCTTATTATGATTTCCTTATTATAAGTCCTTGAAAACGTAGGTTCTTCAGGGTTAAGGTAACACTTACCCCGACATTGAGCTGACAGGGTCTTGCGCTTATGGATCAGGTCAGGGGGTTGCGAGGGTTTCCGGCTGAGGAGTTGCGTTGATGGGTTGCCGTTTAGGGTCCTGATGGGTCCTGTAGGTGCCGTACCGTATCTTCCGACCTAAGAAAGGACCCCAATTTAGAGAACCACCCAGTTGCCCTCAGGGTCCATGTACCTAAATAGTATATGCTTTGGCCTTAAGGTAGTCCGTATAAAGGTGCTTTGAGGCCAATGTATCTACTCTATGAGTACAGGGACCATTAGGTCTGGGGTGGAAGGTGCCGACGGCCTCCATTGAGGCTTCAATAGGGTGGGATGAAGGTAGGTTTAGGGTTTCGGGTTTAGGTCCCGTTTATATAGGGACTCTTACGTTTAGGATTACCCCGCCTACCTGCATCCCACCCTTAGAGTCTTAGATCCCCTTATTAATATAGGAAAGTGGCAAGCCGCCAACCCCGAACACCAACAGAGACCCTGCGTCCTACCTATAGTCCATTATAGTTCCTCTTTTTTGGTTAACCAATTATATATATACACATATATATATATATTTTTTTTTAACATTTAGGATCCTATAAAGTAACCCCCAAAAGGAACTCCAATGGAGACTTTTGGTAGGCCCTAACTCAAAACTGTTCCCCCTGCCAGGGTTTATTGAATTCTTCCCCGCGCCTGAGAGACTCTAGACCTCAGACCCAAAGGCTCCATGTACCTTTATAGTAGATACTTAGGCCTTAAAGGGGTCCCTATATAGGCACTTTAAGGCCTAAGTGTATACTATATGGGTACATGGAGCCTTAGGGAGAGTAACATAGGAATAAAAAGGGTGCCCTTTTTGGGCTTAAAGTGGGTTATAAGGTAGCCCAGGCAACCTAAACCTAAAAAACCGGGAATAGGGCCCTACTCTGGGTTCTAGGATTTCCTTTACATGCCGAAGCCAGGATCCTGTTGAGTTTGCTTTTGTTGGCTGGGGGTTGCTGGAGGAAACACAGACTAGACCCCTAGCAAGGATTTATAGATTTAGCTGCTTCTGAGGGATGATAGGAACCATGAATTGGCAATTATTTCTGAGGATCCCTATAAGGAAGCTCGTCGTAGTAGCCTCGAGCTCATTTTGCTCTGCGGCTCCGACATCTTGAAACCCTGGCGCCTCGCCCCAATCGGAACACCTCAACCCTAAACCGTGAGGGATCGGAACACTTGCAGAATCCGCATAGGAAGCCTTACAGAATAATGATAGAACCCTTATGATGTTATGAAGCTTTATAGAACCCTCTAGCGGACACCGTTCATGGGTCTGTTGAAGGAAACCTAGAATCCAAGGGTAGTAGGAGGGACCCTTAATAAGGACCCCTAGGTATATACCCTGAATATACCCATTATATACCCATTATATAGCCCATCATAGGGTAAGGGTCCCCATTAAGGGTCCTTCCTTTTCCCCTTTGATAGAAGAGACTCTAAACCTTGAGCTGCGAACCGCAAACCCTGAATTTTCAACCCGAAGGGTTGATGATATAAATCCTAGGGGTTCCTTTGAAGGGATCTATAAGGGTATCTTTAGGGGGCTCCTTTAAGGGATCTATAGGGGGGTTTAGGGTTTCGGATGATATAGATCCTGCATTACCCATAATAAGGAGTACCTGGACCCTAAGGAACCTACCTTTTCTAGGGTTCCCTAATATGATTTCTTTATATAAGTCCTTAAAAAGGTAGGTTACGTGGGGTTAAGGTATACCATAATCCCCATAGTTTGGGTCCTGAAGGTAATGCAAGCAAGATTTAGAACATCAACAGGAAGCTCGGAACCCGAAACCCAAATCCCTAAAACCCCCGCGAGGAACCGGTCTTTTAGCCGCCCTTGGAACCAGAATAAGCATCATAGGCTTATAATCCCCTTAGGTTATAGTACAATTATAAGAAAAATAAAACAAACAACCTTAAGTTATATTACAATGAAAAGAAAAATAAGTAAAACCAAAAAGGCCAAGGCAAGTGAAGGGTAAAGGGCGCGAGCCTCCCCAGCTGGAGCCCCAAGAATCATCGCCCCAGCCATCGTCCCACTCGCTTGCATCGACGTTTCTGACCTGCTTTGCTGATCTAGGGTTTAGGGTTTTTTGGCTTAGGAGTTTACGGTTTGAGGGTCTAGGGCTAGTTGGTTTAAGGGCTTAGGGTTTAGGGTTCGAGGGTTTAGGGTTTAGGGCTGATTGTACGTCAGGTCGGAAAATCCTTTAGAGGGTTCCTTCCAGGGCTGCTTTAAGGGTTGGACGTCTATGTAAGGGCTTTCAAGTGTTGGAGTTTGGGACTAAGCGTTCAGGGTAGGATATATATACCCCATAGTCAAAGGACCCGATAATCAGGTGCTTGGGTTTAGGATAGTAGCTATGTAGGTTAACATGTGGAACAGTATATGACTATTCGGTACTTGGACCCTTAGGGATAGGGCTCCCAGGGTGTTTAGTTTCTAGGGTTGTGTTCTCACGGGTTACGGCTCAGGGCATGTATAGTAGAAGCCAGAAAGTTGGAACATCGTTAGCCTCATGCCCTTAAAGTAAGGTATCGGAAATCCCAGCATGAATCATCCTACGGTAAGTCCATGTTCCAACTTTCTGGGGTTCACTATAAAGGTTTTCGGGCTGAACTAGGTCTCGAGACTTGGCGGTTTCAGGCTTCCTCCAAGTAGGGATCGCGTTGGGCCCTAGCAAATCCGATACAACCCTGGGAAACCCAAAGGCTCCATGTACCTTTATAGTAGATACTTAAGCCTTAACAGGGGTCCCTATATAGGTACTTTAAGGCCTAAGTATATACTATATGGGTACATGGAGCCTTAGGGAAAATAGACTAGCACCTATCACGACCAGACTTTGACAGTCTCGGGCTGCACACTAACCCCAGGCCCTGCTTTCCAAACCTACAGACCTACACGTACATCCGAAACTATATGGGTGGTTCTCAAAATTATGGTACCTTCTTGGGTACCCTAAATATTAGGTGCCGTATTATAATAAGGACCCCCAAAAGGGACCCCAATATTGACACCCACCTATTATATAAATCCGGCAGCCTGCACCCCGAATCGAAGGTTATCAACGTTTTGCGGGGCTGGCATTCCACTGTTGAGGGGCGTAGTCGGACCTGGTAGGGAGGTGACTCTTCCGGTACTGCCACGGTACCTCCTTGAACAGCCAGCGAGTCCGGTTGTCCTCGCGCGGCTCCTCACTTTCCGCTTCCAGATCTTCCCATTCCAAAGGGTCCTAGGTACTGCTATGGGGGATACTTCCCTAAATCATAATAGTAATTCCTAATATGGAAACCCTACATTCTACTGTATAGGTACTTTGGACCCTTTGGGCACTCGGGAAACTCCGACAATGGGATTGTCACCAGTTGCCCGTCGCCCTCGGAAGAAGCCTTGGCCATGGCAATGGTAGAGCTCGGGCAAAGGATTGCCCCTTTTAATTACTAGACCTAAGAGTAACCTAGGAATAAAGAGGGTGCCCTTTTGGGTTTACAGGGGCTTAATAAGGGAACCAGAACCCTAAAAAATGGAATAAGGGCTTACTCGGGGTCCTAGATTAATTCTTGCATCGTCAAAAGTGCTCCCTGGCTGGGAAATGTGATGTCGCTGGCTGAGTGCCTCCAGAATGAGATTTGTATTGAAAGAGTCCGTGCCAGGATGGCGGGTGATTTATTCTGGCTGACTGCCTCAACTAAATGCCTCTGATCTTAGGGCTCAGATTTCTGTGGTGTACCGAAAACCCTAAACCCTCACCAATGCAAGGTTCTGTAACTTAGGGTATCGGAATCGGGTTTCAGATAATTCTCTGGAGACTCTGAAGACAGAGACGGCTGCTACAGTGTCCCACAGCTGCTCAAGCGTGCATGGCCCACGCGTCGCGTCATGGCATCAGCATCCGAGCACTAGGACGAGGAAACCCTGAAGCGCCTAACCCAGAGACTCCAATATCCCTTAATTAAGGAATATTCCTTAAACTATGGTAGGATCCCTTATATGATTTAAGGTATATTCCTTCATTAAGGGATATTGGAGTCTCTGGGAACCTAGAAGTCGAGAGCTCTATCGGTAGTTACCAGTGGCTCGAATTCTGTAGAGTTGCTGGCTGTATCCGAGTTGCAAGTTGCTGGACTTGGAGCTCATGCCCGAAGCAGGCAAGCTTGATGCCCGCGCGAAGGATGATAATCAAAAACAACAACAATGATGATAGTAGTAATATTGATAGTGAACTAGTACGTAATAGTATCTGTAATGATGCTAAGAATGTTTGAAAGCTTTACAACCTGACTCAAACCTGATGCAGCCCCTTCTTCATTGAATTGTTGGCTTCCGTTGTCTCTTGAGACGCGTTCCGCTTTGAACATCTCCAGCAAAGGAAAGGCCGCGCGCACGGGTCAGATGGAGAATCAAATGCAGAGGTCTAGGACTTTGCGTAAGCCACGGTTTGGGTTTAGGGTTTAGGGTCTAGGACTTAGCGTAAGCTCCCTGAACTTAACAGTTCAAGATTCGCAGCCACGAGGTCAGGATGTCCTGGCTGAAAATCGAAACTCCAAACACAACCTGAACACTTCAGCTTCTGCTTCAGCCGAAACATGCCCCGCGATGCCAATATCCCGTAAACGAAAAGTATTCCCTGAACGATGGCAGCGATCCCTGAACCCGAAAACCCCATGGAGATTGAGGACTTTGAGGTTGGGGGTCGAAGCTTGCGGGTTTATATAAGGTTCAGTGGCCGAATAGGATTTTGGGGTATATTATCCTATAGTTTTTCATAAGGAACCCCCCAAAATAGTATTGGTCATGACTTAGGGACCAAAATTAGGGCTTTGTGTTTCGGGGTTGAGGGTACCACTGGAAACCAGCGGAACCCAGCCTGGCGTGACAACAAACACCTTTAGTCTCCATTGTAGTACCTTTCTGGGGTTACCTTTGAGGATCCTTAATATAAAAATTGTTAAACCAAAAAAAGAACTACAATGGAGACTATAGGCAGGACTGAAACAAGGGCATAACGACTTGGGGTTTTGAGCTTGGAGGTTTCGGCATGCGCGCCTATGTAGGAACTGAAGAATACTCAACAAGAGCCGTTCCGTCAGAAACATTAAGTCAGTGACCACAAGCAATCCCCAGCTTTGAAATGGCAAGACTGAGCCCTAACATGTGTAGATGCAGATATTTCTACATACACACATACATACATATATGGGTAGTTGTCACAATTATGGTCCCTTTTTGGGTACCCTAAAAATATTAGGTGCCGTATTATCATAAGGACCCGAAAAGGGACCCTAATTTTGACAATTACCCGTACTTCTGCATACACACATACATACATATATAGAGATCCTTAACCGCTAAAAAGCCCTGGAAGTGCGGAGCGGGAAGCTGCCCAAAGTTTGCGTTCTTCTTGGCCCGGACGCTATCTCAGCAAAGGGTGGCAGCTTACATAGGGGTTGACTCTAGGGGCCTTAAGAATTACCTATCTTAATTTCGGGGGTTCCCTGTTATGAGTATAGTATAATAAACCCCGAAGCCCCTTTCTAATTATTAAAAGCCCTCTATATTAGGGGTTCAGGGTTAGCCAAGCGTAGCAGTAGGGAGCCCAGGGTCAATCTTGAGTTTTAGGCTTTATGGTTTGGGGTAGAAGAAGAAGTTTAGGGTTGAGGGTTGGGGGGCCGAGAAAGGCACTCTTGCGGACTTTAAAATGCCAGACTCTAGCTTGTGTGTCTTAGAGCTGCTTTATCGTTTCTGCCGACCTAGCTCGGGTTTAGGTTTTAGGGTTTGCTTTCCATGCGCTCGGCTTGTTCTCTGCCTATAGGCTCCATCGTAGTTCCTTTTCGGATTACCTCATAGGATTCAAAACATGAACCACACGAAAGGAACCCCAAGCTTTGGGGTGAATCGTGCGCAGCAGTCCACTGCCCTTCGTCCTTTCGCCCTGCCTCAGTTGCAAAGACCTGAGTCTTACAACTGAACTGGGTTTAAGGTTTTGGGTTTAAGGTTTAGGCTCTTACAACTGAACTCTATCCAAACCCGACCCCCTAAACCTTCAACCCTGCACCCGAATATAGGGGCCTTCGACTATTTTGGCGGTTCCTCAATATAAGAATCATAGTATAATGGGACCCAAAACCCTATTCTAAATACTAAGGCTCCAAAATTAGGGTTCCGGGCTAAGGACTTAATCCCATGCCACGGCTGCAAACAAAACACACGAGGGTCGAGTCTGTTTGAATAGACTTTTGAGCGCTTTCACAGCAAAATAGCAGGCTGGAATGTGGACATACCGGTTTCGGGCGGCTTGGCTTTCGGGTTTAGTGTCTAAGGTTTAGGATAACGGCATGACTTGCTGCTGGGCTTCCCTCGTTTCTGATTGAAACCTTTCTAGTTTCAGGATGTTTCGGGTCTGACTAGGGTTCCGGATAATAACTTGGTTTCTGAGTAGCCCCTTTATAATAAGGCTACCCTTTTTCCTGCTGTTTGATCTTAATAAGGGAACCCTAAACTAGAAAGGGCAACAGGGGGCCACTCAGGAACCTAGATAAGATATTCTTTGCTGGCCCACCCTTGCTTCTCGGTGTGATCTGTCTCGTTTCAACTGCAGGGCTGCAGCGTCAGCGTGTAGTAGGTTTATATTCTTAAGCATCTGGGGGGTTCAAAATCTAGGCCCTAAACCCTAAACCGCTGTTGGGAAGTGGGCATGATTAGGATCTTTCGACTTATTTTTGGATTTACGGGTTCGATCACTTCTTCTACAGTTTCGTCGAGCATTCTCTGAAACTCACAGGATGTATACCTAACTAGGGTTGAGGGGAGTAGTTACGAATGCGAAAGTTAGGGTTCCATTTATGCTTAAGCATACAACCTGGGCTCAGAACGTACTGAACAACTGCTAAGCCAGACCGTCTGCCCGACCTGGCGCGACGTTCTCCTGCTGGGACGGAACCTTAGCATCATGACCCCGCAGGGGGCTTCGTCAATAGGTCTCAGTCAGGTTCTGCTCTGGCAGGGAACTCGTCGTGAGAAGCTTCCACATGTCGAAAGGGAGAAGAAACTCTTGGGAGCCTACAGCCTAAGCCAGCCCTATCCCCGGTATATATATATATATATATATATATGTATGTATATATGTATATACACATATACACATAATAAAAATTCAGAAGCAGGACATGCCACAAGCGAGAGCTCAAACAAAGACGCCAGAGGAATCGTGGTGTCGATTTGAGACAAAAACCTGTGCAGCACAAGCAGGTTGCGGGCCAAAGCCTACAGTTAAGGTTTAGGGTTTAGGGTTTAAGGTTTAGGGTTTAGGGTTCATTTGGGAAGTTGAGGTTATGTCTGCTGCACAAACTAGACCTAAACCCTCTAAAGCCTAATCCGTGAACCTTGAACCTGAAACCCTAATAACCCAAAACCCAGACATCATCCTGCAATTGAAGGGTCCGGAACCCAAAGCCCGAAACACACTAAGGTTAGCGTTTAGAGATTAAGGTTAGTGTTTGAGGTCTAAGGGCGTAGGGGTCCGACACAAACCTCACTCGAGCTTTTACAAAATGATTGCAAGTATGTCTTCTTCGGCTGACCAAGCGAGAATGCCACGCAAATCCAGGCCCACTCTGCCAGCAAGCAGCACAGAGCTTTACGATCTCATACTTAAAGAGTTCGGGCAGTTCAGGGTGAAGGGTTCAGGATTGCGGATTTAGGTAGCGTCTCAGCTTGAGGGGCTGCTTAGTGTTCTGGTACATATACAGATACTTGTGTATATTATGTATAATATGTGGTTCAGAGCGTGCACTTCAAAGAACAGAAAGAGCAACTGTACGAGCCCAAGAAAATCACCTAGGCATGAACATGCTTAGTATTGTGTCTCTGCTTCGCGCCCTGACAGCAAACATCAAGGAGGTTCAGGTCTAGGGCTCGAGGGTATAAATGTAGGACCTTGGGCTTCGGGCTTAGCTAACTGTTGGGGTTGACGGCTTTAGGGCTGAATGGTTCAAGATCAAATTCGGGTGCGGTGATCGCATTAAGCCTACCCGTTGCTGGCAGCGGCCGGACCAACATGACTTGCCAAATCGGCTCACGCATCCCCTACCATGCTCTCCCAATACCTGCTGGCCATAGCTGCACAAGCACCATTGCAAATGCAAATAACGTCATTCTGACTGGGTCAATACCTATGGTACCTAGATTTCCTTTCTGGGTTACCATATAGGGTCCTAGATCAAGATAGTTAAGCCAAAAACAGGAACTACAATGGACACTGCAGATAACTTATAGAAATCTTCAAGAGGGTCAGAGGTCGAACGGGGCGCCTAGTGCAGCTGCGCTCTTGACAAGACGGCCGCTCTAGGCTCACCAAAAAGCTGCACAAATACTTCTTCTGCATGATCTCAACGGCCATCTTCTTTCATGTAAGGTCTAAGACTCGATCAACCTCTGCCTCATTCTGAGGCTGCTGGCAGAAATCATCTACCCAGTGAAAGCTACAAAAATCAATGGTCGATGTTCATAGAGATGATGGAGATGCCTCGGCCCCGGCTCCAGGTAGGCTTCAAGATTGAGCTAAGGGGTGTAAATCTGGACAGTCTCATGACAGCTGCGACGACTACGCTCCGCTACGACTCCCATCATCAATGTTCGGATGGTTACAACCCTTAACCCTACAGCAAGCTTCGGTAAGCACGCGAATATACGGGGTGATGTGGCCTCCGGCTCCCTCACACAAAGGTCAGATAAGTAGAAACAGCAGCGAGCGTCATCAGCGCCATGTTGTCGCGGTGGTGGTCGTCGTCGTAAAGTTCATCATCATCATCATCATCATCATCATCATCATCATGACCATCATCATCATCATCATCCGATACTACTGGGATTGTGTCTTTAT